AAGGGCAAATATGAGGCCTTCCGTTAAAAAAAATGCTACTAACAATCCTTTTGTATAGAATGTCTTATATTTGATTGCATATTTCCATGTGTCCTTCCAAGAAAAAAATATGGAGTTGATACAACATAACATAGGTTCTACAGCATTTCAGTGACTGGTAATGCAAATTATCAAATATGACAGCCTGCCAATCTACCATTTTGAAAGTGTGATTTAATATACTAGAGTCATGAAGTACTCTCAAGGAGCTTCAAAATGAAGTCTCAGCATGATCTGCAGCCATCCACTATTTTGGAACTGTCACCTGCCACTTATATGCTGAGAGATAGTATTCATGCAAACAATGTGACGTATTCAAGAATGATAGCTTGACTTCAAAATTTTAGCGATGATTCTATAATAAGTTGGTAAAGTTTGCCCTACGATGACGCGTCTATCTTCAAATTACTTTCAGGAATATTGTTTTCACGCCAATATATCAAGCTGTGTTTTGACTTCCAAAGATTCTCAACATTTTACATAAATTTTCTACGCAACAAAGCCAAACCTTACTAAATACACAACAGAAAGGTACTGGAAATTCTCAATTCAAAACCATTTTTCTCCCCGCACTTTCCATCTAAAATACAAATAAATAAAAACTTTGTACTGTATAAACTTGTTCAACGAGATGTTTATCTTGAAGAAGCGGAGGCACGTTGGGAGAAAAAGAAGTATTTGTGAAGTAAGAAAGATTCGCCCCCGTTCTGGTGTTTATGTAAACTTCGGCCGCGTGGTAAAGTTATGCTTCCTAAATTTGGGTAAATAACCCTGGAGGCACATTAATATTAAAAAAGTTCAAACCAACTCGTTTGGAACTAACGGTGAAGAATACGTAACGGCGTGGTTGACACAAATATATCGCTGCATTCTTGATGAATAACCCCTACAAGATTTGCAAATTTTATTGATGTGACAGGAAATCAAGTCTTGGTAATAAAATCATAAAATTTGTTTGCCTGCTTTACGTATGGTAATCATTGGGGGCATTCATCATAAAAGCGCTGTACCGCTTCACTTTGTCTGAACGACGCCGCTATTATGTTTAAAGCATCTTACAGAATACGGTGGGCAATCTTACTACCCACGCCTACCGGAAGTATTGTAATCCCGAAAATTTTCGAAAACGAGTTACATTTTTGGATTTTATATGACATGTACACTACGAAAAACCATGTCACTCATTTACGTCGGATTGTGTGCCTGCTGGTCTGTCTGCTAATTTTATATCCGCCTATAACTTGAGAAGTAGTGTTAGGATTTTGATGAAACTTTTACACAGTGTTACTACTACGCCAAGGACGCAAAAGCTCTGTAGTTTTTGGAAATCTGTCTGGTGGCGGCAGAGAAAAATGCCATAGACGAAAGCAAATATCGCTCAAACTATTTTTGCGTTTCAGACGATTCTGATCATTTTTGAAAAAGTTTTAGAAGTAAAAAAACTTGGGATGGGGATTTTGCGGGGGTAGCTCCCCATCTTATCATTTCTTTTGATGCTGGCATATTTACGCGCGTCCAACATTCTATGCACCTATTAGCCATCTCACAGGTCATAGATTTCTCTGTGCATTAGCCCGGAAAAATGTTCTCGGGAGACGGATCGCCTACCTATCGGCCGCGGCTGCTGTTGGCGTCGTGGGCCGACCGTGGTGAGTGTTCTGGTATGAAATCACACGTGTTTCTGCCGCAGTGCCCCAAGTGAGGTACCGGGGAGAAGCATCGTTTCCAGATGCACTACCGACAGGGCAGGGAAAGAATATCTATAGAATAATTGTCTGGACCCGTTTGACTGACTTTTTTCTCAGAGTGTCTAGTTTGTGCTGAACATATTCCTTTATGTACTGATAAGGGTGTTGCGTTGGAAGTGCAGAGTCAACCTGCTTGACGCTATTTCTTCGGTTTGATATAGAATACAAAAATATGTTTTTATGGAGGTACATACCTCTTACGGGTGCTACAAAAAACATGTTTTCCAATTATTAGGCAACTTCTTTGGTTAGAAGATTGGGATTTTAAATAATATCATTTTGGGTTACTATTACACATGTTTTAAGAAAACTAGCAATCCTAGGATACGTCTGTGATGGACTAAATTCGTCACTTGTCCTCCAGACGTCATTATGTGAGGCTCTTATTATAGAATAGAATACAAAAGGATTTATTTAGCTTTAAGCTACTTCAAACAGTAATAAATACTATTTACAAAAAATGTGTTAAATTTACAAAGTGGTCGTCACGTCAACCCTTAAATAGTCTCTCCGAAGTTGCTTTTTAAAAATGATAACCCTACTAGATGTTTTTACATTAATATGTAGATTGTACATTTTTTGACTTTCAACACAGGTTGACTTTTCTAAACCTTTAGATTCAAGTCTATGTATAGGAAAATTTTCTCGTCGTAACCTAGTATTTCAAATATTTTTTTCTTAGAAATTTTTCAAGATAAGCAGGAGCCTCATTATTGATAGTCTTATAAAAAATAAAATAAATTTGACTATCAGGATATCAAAAATAAATAAATTCGTATCGCCATAGAGAAGTCCGATAGGATAACTTTCCTTCTACATACAAAAGGTGTCATAAAAGTCGCTATCGTTTGTATTGAAGAGAAAATAAACATGATAGGATTATGTATGGAGCACCACCTAAGACATGGCTTCATCACCATTGGTTATCATGATGTTAAAAACGAATTAATCTGTATCTCCATAGAGAAGACCAGTTAGATAGTTTCCTTCTACATATTAACGGTCTTAAAAGTGTACACATGGTTTGAATGGAATATGGAATAGAAAACAGCTCTTTTCTTCACATCGCTATTTTTTTATTGAATCATAAAATACTCATGATAGAGTTATGTACTCATTACCGTTGGTTATCATGATGTCAAAAATATGCATGGAATAGTACATTACGCAAATGGCCTCATCAGCGTTATTGCCGCATGCGTACCATTTTTATAAAAAAATTCTGTGATCATTTCACACATATGTGAATGAATTTCCCTGATGCAGCATTCGTTCAGTATACAAGTGACTGTGGGATTCTTATGTCTTCTTCACTGAAATTCTCTGTTGTATACACACGAGTTTCGTTGTCATAACAATCATATAGTTTAACACCATTGGGTTTTTGATAGGGCTATTCGAAGTTAAAGGTATATGTCAACAAGCCTACAAGACACACTTAATTATGGGCAGAAACTTAAGGCTGCCTCAACAAAATTCAGCCACATTCATGCAAAATCCCCACGAAGATGCTATTCCATAGGTTCTATGGGTTTTTTATTCACAAGCTTTTATTAGTTTGGCCTGTATGTATACTAAGTGACATATAAATCCGAACACCCAATTTAAATGGTTTTGTTTTAATAAGAGTTGGTGAATGTATTTATCTTACTGTAAATAACAAGTGAAAAAATTTTCAGCCTTATCAGTTGGACATTCCGGTTTTTATACTGCTTTTTTTTAATTCACTAACGCTCTAAAAATGAATATTTCAGCCGCAGTAAAGATTCAACGTTGGCGGATTTTGGTTCTTGACATCCTTTACGATCGGTTACGATGACTAGAGTACGGAGACCTGTACGATTTCATCAACCTAGTGAGTTTGATAGGGGCCGTATAGTGGGACTTCGGGAAGCTGGACTTTCTTTTTGGGGCAATTGCAGTTAGAGTGCAAAGAAGACACTGTGGTTAGGTGATGTCAGGCATGGCTTCGAGAAGGCCGTACGCAAAGAGCAAGGGGCACTGGACGCCGCCGTAGAACAACAGACCGTGAAGGTCGCCGCCTAAGATTATTGGCCTCAAGGGACCGTTTCTACACTACCAGGTCCATTGCAAATGAATGGTTTGCAGAACACAGAAGACCTATTGGCATGCGAAGTGTTTACCGACGAATGAGAAGTTTTGGCTTGTTTTCATACCGGCCACACTGGGTCCTCCCTTTAACTCGAGAACACCGACGTAATCGCCTTGAGTGGTGCAGACAACGGTCACTCTGGGATCAGGAATGGAACAGTATTGTCTTTAGTGACGAGTCTCGATTTTGTTTAGGCATGCACGATGGTCGTGCCAGGGTTAGAAGGCGACGTGGTGAAAGGAGGAATCCACAGTTTTTTGTTGAAAGACATGTTCATCACACTGTTGGGGTTATGGTTTGGGGTGCTATAGCTTATGGTTCCAGGTCACCTTTAACCTTCATCAGAGGTAACATGAACGCGCAGCGTTATATCCATGAAGTTCTAGAACCCCATCTTTTACCCTATCTTGACACCCTGGCAGATCCAACTTTCCAACAAGATAATGCCCGACCACATGTTGCAAGAGTCACCATAGACTTCTTTCAACATAATGATGTCACATTGTTACCATGGCCACCAAGATCTCCCGACTTATCCCAAATTGAGCACGTGTGGGATATGATGGGTAGGAGATTGCTCAATTTGCAACGTCCTCCTCAGACTCTAGAAGCACTTCGAGAGGGGAGTTGGTGGTTGCCTGGAATGAGATACCACAGGAGGACATTGACCACCTGATCAGAAGCATGCCTAGGCGCGTTGGAGAATGCGTAGCACATCAGGGTGCATCCACACATTATTAAAGGTCAAAGGGCTTTAAAGCAGTGCAATCATTTTGAAATTTTTATCATTTACTTATTGTGCTTCATTAAGTACTTATACAAACTTTTATTAAAATAAAACCATTTAAACTGGGTGTTCGGATTTATATGTCATTTAGTATATGTAGGTATGTATGGAACGGAATCTTTGAGCATAATTTTCACCAATTTCCAGAAGTTTGATTGATTTGAAACTTGGCATACGTATCAAGGACCGATGACTATGCAATACTTTAATAAGAGTTTTCCATTATCCTTATTCATAAAATTTTGTTAAAAGCAGATATGTAAATACAGAACCACGGATTTCAAATACCGCCTTACAAATAGCAAAACTACAAGTCTCTGTAGCTCAGTGGCCGTGCGCTGGCCCTGTAACCCAGGGGTCGTGAGTTCAATCCTCATAGGAGGCAGATAGTCCTGCATGTATGGAACAGAGTCTTTGAGCATAATTTTCACCAATTTCCAGAAGCTTGATTAATTTGAAACTTCGCACACGTATCGAGGACCAATGACAGTGCAATAATTTGATAACAGTTTTCCATTATCGTTATTAGGACCGCCATGATTGATAAATTCTTCTATAGATCCTCTGTAGGGGAGTGAGATAGATGGAGCTAGCGCGCGATCTGCGCATGCGTGTAGTTTCGGACTTACTCTTTGTTGGTACGGGCACTCGGCACAACACAACGGAGACAGATACTTTTTTAAGGTAGTGCATTCTCACCTTGTTCATTGCGAATGTTGTTATTAATCCTGAGTTGGGCTTCGACCGTCCACGAGATGCGAGATTGTACAGTCGATCGTGCAGTCATTTATCTAGGCTCGCGACTGTTTCTAGCTGGACAAGCTTATGTAGCACTTAGTCGTGTAAGATCTTTAGACGGTATTCGGCTAGAAGAATTTCATTGCTCTAAGCTGACAGGGAAAACTTATGCAACAGTAAAGCTTTAAATGAAATGATTATATTTTGAAATGATTCGAAGACATTTCAATACCACATGTCAACAAAAAACTAATTGATAAATCGAACTAAAAAATGGAAAATAAATATTAGTTTAAAAAACACGCTTTTATAGTTAACCGAGCTACAAAGTACAAGAAATTTTTAATTACAAAGAGTTTATATTACAGTAGTAAATGGTCGGACAATCAATCATAATTAATGACCTCAAAATAAAATTACAATAAAATTCAAATTATTAAATGTTACAATCACTCTATTGGCAACTACGTCTCTATGGGAGGAGAGTTACGACAATGTATTAGAATGCACCCCACGCTTTTTACTTTGAATTCATTCTGTTAATGACTTAAATTTTATTATAATTTTATTTTGAGGTCATTAATTATTATTGATTGTCCGACCATCTACTACTGTAACATAATATAAACTATTTGCAATTAAAAATTATTTTCTACTTTTTAGTTCGGTTAGCCATAAAAGCGTGTTTTTTTTTAGTTTTTTTAAACTATTATTTATATATTATTTTGCCATGTAAAAGAAATGTTTTTTTCCTTTAACATTTTTGTGGTAAAATTAAAGTAACAAAGTTATAGCCCTTTAGAAGTTTGAGTACCGCCCTGTCTCAATAATAATATTATGTGCTCGTGTTTGGCAACAACGGATATAATCCGCCTTATCGGTTCATCCCATCGAAAACAAAAAAGCGAAAGAATTTGGAACGATGTTTTTACAATTATTTTATTCAGTTGTATACAGTCAGTGTCAGTCGGTAACGCGTGAGTGAATAGTGGTGTCTGTTGCGTGGCTCAAACGAAATAAAAAATGGCACATGTTTATGCGGATCGGTTTCCCAATCGAGTGTAACCAACCCCTCGTGCCTCTGTTAATGTAGTACAACGGGCTCGTGAATCAGGTGACTTAAGACCTCACAGGGGACTGCATGCCGGTGCTCCAAGACCTCACGATCAAATACAGGTCCGCACTGAAATACTTGTCGGAAGGATACTTTATAAAACAAGGTAAAAAATTTTTTTTAATTTTTTTTTATTTTTACACACATATTTTGGTTTATCTTCCTTCTACAATCATTATCTGAAAATTAATGACTCAACTTCAAAGTCCTAACCAAAATAAGTATCTTTTACTTCGATCTTATAATTTAAATTGTTAATGAATATATATGTAAGGTTAGTGTTTTAACTCTTTTTGTAGATTCCTGAAGAAGGAAAAATGTAAGAACAGCACGTGCTTAGATGCCGCCAACTTTTTGTGGACGTCATGTTTTTGATTCTAACAAAGACTTTTTCCCGCTTCTGCACAAGATAAAGGATGGGCGATAAACATACAGAGTTTATGGAAATAATAGTCCGAGCGGGTCATCCACTGTTTTTTTTTGTACCCTTATGTGGGACCTCAAGTGGGTCAGAGTGTCGTGCTACTGATCAACCGGCCAGCCGGGCCGCGAGTTCTAATCTCGCCTTCGGAAAAAACATTTCGAAGCTATGGATATTGTAGCGTCGTGTGTTTGTCAATTAGAGATTTACGTGTATAAGATATTCTGTGGTTGTGGTTTACAACCTGATGCCAATTTGTGTAAAATAACGTACTGTTACGTATCAGAATATACAGGGTGTTTCAGTTTATTGTTGCATAACTTTTAGATTCGATAGAACTTTTAAAATTAATGCATAAAGTCTATATAAAGATGGGTAGAAAAATGCGTGGCTTCCGAAATACAGGGTGTTTAAATTTACTTTCTAAAATAGATTTTTTTAAATATTTCGAACAATGTTTGATGTATAACAGTGAAAATTGGTATACAAGGGTTTTTTGGTACGACAAAACGAACCATAGTTTTACTGTAGCCGCTAGAGGGCGCTCTCTACTGTACCGGTAGTGTATTAAAATGACCGAAAATTTTTTCTTATTGCAATTTTTTGCTTTTTGAACAAAAAAACTGATTCTTCGCACTTTTCAACATAAAAAAGCTCTATTGTGAATTTTCGTTATAGTTAGCTGTCTTTGAGATATTTCGATTTTTAAGGTTCGATGCATTTTTAATTATTTATGATAAAATAACGTTAAAAAGTCAGTATCTCAATAATTTTTAGAAGTAGGCTGTGCCTGCAAATATTTTTGAAATCGAAAGCAGAATAAGGTTAAACGTCAATTAGTTGACAGTTAGTTTTGTTGTCTGTTGAAACCTGAAACATTTTTTTGCAATTGTGAATGCACGAAATTTAGTTTCTTTTACCTGTTTTTTTTTTGTAGGTTTTATAAAAATGCCATTTTTATTCTCCAATCAAGAGTTAACGGATATTCATTTTGTGTATGGCTTTGTAAATGGAAACGCAGCAGAAGCAGCCAGAGAATACGCACGAAAATTTCCAAACAGACGACATCCAACTCGCTCAGTATTTTTAAGAGTGCATCGCCAAATAATTGAAAATGGTTTTAGAAATCTCCAAAGGGATCAAAACATAAATGTTCGTCAGCGCAGATTTACCCGTATGTTTCTGCGTGAGTTTGATAGAGATCCGACCACAAGTGTTAGGAGAGTTTCTGGTGCCTTGGGAATTTTAGCAAGCCATGTTCACCGTATTCTTAGAAATGACCATAGACGTTCTTACCATTTGCAACCTGTGCAAGGACTACAGCCAGGGGACGGAGAACGAAGAATCACATTTTGTCAGTGGATTCTTGATAGAACTGATAATAATAGGGAGTTTTTAAGTAACGCTTTATGGACCGATGAGTCATGCTTCACTAGACGTGGAGTGGTAAATTTTAATAATCAACATATGTATTTGGTCGCATGAAAATCAGCATGCAGTTCGGGAAAGAAATTTTCAGCATGAACTTAGTGTGAACGTGTGGATTGGTATCTACCGTAATCGACTATTTGGACCCTACCTTTTATACCTTTTGCCTGCAAGGTTAAATGCTGCGACCTTCTTGGAATTTTAAAAGGCTGAACATGCAAATATGTGGGATGATGTTATGTTAAATTTAAGAAGATTGGCCTGGTTCCAGCTTGATGGTTGTCCAGCTCATTATTCGAGAATAGTTAGAAACTGGCTGGACGAAAATTATCCAGAAAGATGGATCGGCCGTGGAGGACCAGTCGCCTGGCCTCCACGATCCCCTGACCTAAATCCATTAGATTTCTAAAAGAAAAAGTGTACCAGACTCCCGTAACCACAAGAGATATGCTAATAGACAGAATCAGGAATGCATGTGACGAAATAAGGCCTTATTTGAATAATGCTATACCACGTTCAATCATTCGTAGATGTGAATTGTGTATTGAACAATTGGGTTTACATTTCGAGCAACTACTTTAGATTTTGTATGTTTGTCCTAACTATCCAATAGCATTTTAGTTGTGAATAATTAATTTAGTTTGTTAAAAATAATATTGGAGAATTAAACAAATTAATATTATGTTTTTTGTCTTTATTTGGAGTTAGGAATTATTGCTGTGTTTAAAAACACAATCTAAACGATCACCTTAATCACTTGTAATGCCCAAATCGAAAATGTTAAAAAAATATTATTTTCCCATAAATAATTAAAAATGCATCAAACCTTAAAAATCGAAATATCTCAAAAACGGCTAACTATAACGAAAACTCACAGGAGAGCTTTTTTATGTTGAAAAGTGCGAAGAATCAATTTTTTATTCAAAAAGCAAAAAATTGCATTAAGAAAAAATTTGCGGTTATTTTAATACAGTACAGGTACAGTAGAGAGCGCCCTCTAGCGGCTACAGTAAAACTATGCACATGGTTCGTTTTGTCGTACCAAAAAACCCTTGTACACCAATTTTCACTGTTATGCATCAAATATTGTTCGAAATATTTAAAAAAAAATACTTAAGAAAGTAAATTTATATTTATATTTCGGAAGCCACGCATTTTTCGACCCATGTTTATATAGACTTTATGCATTAATTTTAAAAGTTCTATCGAATCTTAAAGTTATGCAACAATAAACTGAAACACCCTGTATAAACAGGAAAGTGTTGTCTGGAGTACCGACACCCCAAAGGTCATGTTCTTTCTTAGCTCCTAGATCGTTCAACATAATTTGAATAAATTTAAGAAATAGCTAAACAAGTGGCTTCTATCTACACCTCGAACAGTGATACGTCAGGAAATTGATTTGAAGAATACGCTGTCATTTCATGCATGGTTTGATTTTTTAATTGTGATTGTATGCTTAATGCGTTATCTGGATGTGACTTTTTACCTGGTTGCGACTATTCCAACGAACTGTGATTGCTGTTTACCATATGAGGATAATTTATATTATGGACGTGATATGTTACATTAGTAAGTCTTATTCTTATATTCAATTCGACTCACCCACGTACAAGGAATATTCATTCCTTTGGGACTCTCATTTATTCGCTTATTTCTTGCTTTCTTAAATATTTTATACGTTAATCAATTGTGCGAATAAATTATAATATACTAATACTTAATAGGTACCCCTAATATCTGTACTTTAAGATTCAATAAAAGAATAATAATGTAAAGAAACGCAGCATTTCTACTGAATTTCGTCAATTTTAGAACGCTTTTTACTGTGTCTATATTTGCATGAGCACACTTAAGGACCTCTAATGAATCCTGACACACCTTGCGCAAAACGAAAAATAAACTTCTGACAGCTATACACTCCAAGACATGTGATAAATCCGTTTAATGTGAAAAAACCCTGTATCCTGTAACCGAAGGGGACAGGTTACGAAAAGACACGCAGAGTTGTAAAAAAATATCCAATGAGTGCCTGGAAAACCATTAAGTTTGTCAGAATGCCTTTCATCAAAGAAATATAAATGGATTTTTTTTCCTGTGTTGATGTTGACACGCGGGATTTGAGGAACAATTACATTGGATAGAGGGGACGTCTGAGTATATCGCGTCATGGAAAACTTAAAATCGATGAGAATGATGAATAGATAGACCTTGAACAGTTGTCAGGAGTAAGGATTGGGGTGAAAAATCTATCAAGTAGGATAGTTTTTGTCGTTTTTATTCAGCGATATTCTAATACATGCAGTAGCCAAAGCATCTAGCTCTAATCTGATACAGCTACAGCTATAGCTCTATGAATGCAGCTAAAACATATTTTTTGCTATTGCTGTAGTGATTTTTTTATTTCTTTTTTATTTAGTGTAATTTGAGTCATTTAGCAAATTTTTCTACTTGGCTTGAGAACTTAACGGGAATATAATTTTTCTCCAAAATACGTGAAATCAACTCACTACAAGACATCTCTCTTATCAGATGCTTACATGAAAACCATTTTAACATCGTTCCAAATGAGCCAATCCAATAGAAAGTTAAGTAAAAGCACCTGCACAATTGTCATGATAATTCTGTACTTATAACAAAGCAAACCTGACAAAGACAAACAACTGACGATTGACACAACGACAAAAAATCGTTTAAATAACGAACTACGTTTTAATATCTATTAGCTAGTACTTCAGGTGAGTCAACATAAACAAATTTAGGGGTAGTTCCATACAATTTCGATATCATACAATATAAAAAAAACCGAAAACCCTTTTAATTATTAAAAAAATCGCGTCAAGTAGATTGACTCTGTACTTCCTACGCATTCGTTGGAGTTTCAAAGAAATGAGGCAAGTGAAGTGGATCCGAGCTTGCACAATATTACTCAGGGTTTTTTCGTGGGTTTCAGTAATAACGACGGCGATATGGCTAACAAACTTTAATGGTAGTAAGGCACAACATAATTCACTAACTTAAAAAAAAACATGGAACCCGGTAATCTTTAAATCCGGAAGATGGTCACGTCACCTGTTGCCTCTCTCGGCGGCGAAGGGCAACTCCCCCTCGCTCGATCTACCACAATTTCGTCCACTGTTGCCGAGTTGCCGCGCACCTCACTGAACCACTACACAACCCCCCACTTAAATCGAGGTAACATAGATTTAAGTCTAGAAACAGAGCAGAGGGTGCAAGGCAATACCGGGAACATTACTCCAGTATAACATCGCTAGGCTGCTTATAAGCTTTGAGATTGATCACATTTTCCTTAGAATGAATCTTACTATCAAGATGTCCAATGACATAGGAGTTGGGTCCCGCTTGTTGTAACACAGTATACGGTCCATCATACAGTAAAAAGAATTTAGAAATTAGTTTAGCTTCGGCGGACGAATGAGGATGCGTTTTAACTAGAACCTTATCGCCCGGGTCAAAAGTAACAGGTTTCATCACTTTAGCCCCCTTTAACGAAATTTGCGCATTTCCGTTAGAACCTGGAACACTGCACGTCTTATCCTTTAAAGGATACGGCGACAAAGCATCCGCCGCTACGTTGTCAGGTCCGTTGCAATATCGTATCTCGAAATCAAATTCTTGGATAAATATTATCCAGTGCGATAACCTTGCCGAACGTAATTCACATGATATCAAAAAGCTAAGTGCTTTATGATCTGTAAAAACCACCAAATCTTGTCCTAGAACCATCGTACGCCACAAACGTAAACAAGAGACAACCCCCCAAGCTTCCTTTTCCGTTACGGTGTAGTTTAATTGACTTCCTTTCAAAACGGAACTCATGAAGCAAACATATTGTTTCTCCCCCGTATTGCTAATCTGGTAAAGACTGCCCCCCACGGCATATGCGGAAGCATCGCATTGAATATAAAAAGTGCGCTTAAAATCAGGATGAACAAGCATCATGGACTTTAGGAAGGCTGACTTAATAGCTCTAAAACTCTCCATTTCATCGCTTCCCCAGCGCCATTTTTCTCCTTTCTTCAGCAACTTCAACAATGGCACGGTCAATACAGCATACCCGGCGCAGAATCGATGTTCATAATTGACCAGACCCAAGAACCCTCGCAACTCTCTTATATTTCGTGGAACAGGAAAATCAGAAATATTTTTGACACGCCCCTCGTCTATTTCGATTCCCCTTGAGGTGATCACATGACCTAGAAAATGTACCTTTTCCCTAATAAACTGACATTTTCTTAGTTTAATTGTAATTCCGGCATCACTAAGTCTCTGAAAAATCGTCTTCAAATGCCTTAAGTGATCCGCTATGTTCTCCGAGTAAATTAATAAATCATCAACATATGACTGCGCGAAATCATTACAGCCCTCCAATATCTTATTTAAGCATCGAATAAGACTTGCCATGGAAGTAGATAACCCAAATGGCAATCGACAAAAACTATATGTTTCACCCTCGAACACAAACCAAAGATATTTGGTATGATCCGGTAACACTGGAATTTGCCAATATGCTTGCGTCAAGTCTATTGTGCTCATAATTTGCCCCTGTTTAAAATTGGCCATTAATTCAAACGGATTGGGAGGATTCACGAAATCCTTCTTCATCTTTGAGTTCAGCCCCCGAGCGTCCAAACACACGCGAATATTCCCATCCCTTTTCTTCACGCAAACTAACGGCGAAATGTAGGAACTTCTTTCCTTTTGAATAACACCGGCCGCTAACATTTCACCAATCTGCCTTCTAACTTCATCCCGATAATCCATAGGAACAGGATAAGCCACAAAATTAAATTCATTTTCATCCACTAGCTCAATTTGATGAAAATAGTTGACGACGCGTCCCGGTGTATCAGAGAATTTATTCCTATATTTTTCCAAAATACTTAAAAGTGAAGCCTTAGCACTCCCACTCAAAGTAGTTTTCGCTGCTGCTGCCTGAATATCCTTCGCGCTGTAGCCTTTACTGCGGGAATCACCGTCATCAACGCTGTACTCTACCAGTGGCGTAACCCTGCTAGCTTTATTTTCGACTACATCAAACACATAATCATTTTTCTCGCAGAGGTTTATAGATATTTTCTGCGGATCAATCCGAAATGACAGCTTCGTATTTATGGAAACCCCTTCTATCATTAGCTTCAGCTGTGAATATTGATAATCCAAACGTGCATGATGCTTGGATAACCAATTTGATCCAAATATCAAATTGCAATTGAGTTGTGGAATAACCAAACAGTTCACATCGATATCTATTCCTTCTAATTGAACTGGAATCAAGATTTGCGACTTTATCTTCTGCGTTTTACCGCCTATTGCTACAGAGATCACTCCTCGTATGACCGGTAAAATTGGAAATTTCCCGAGATTGCTTAACTCTGAATAGAATTTCTCCGAGATTGCGCATATATCTGAGCCGCTGTCGATCAATACTTCTACCAACGTACCAAAAATATATATCGATATGGTTGGCGAAACCTTTTCATCATCCTGCACTATATCCTCCGGGTCGCTTAAAAGATCGATGTCCGGATCCCCCATGCAAGCCAGTGAACGCCCGGTATGTCCCTCATTATTTCCCCTAGCGGTCGACCGCTTATCTCTCGATATCTCTCGCTCGGAATTTGTTCGATTATTTTCAGATCGATTACTATAACCCTGCGCATTATTCATGTTCCTATTCGAACCCCCCACAGTAGACAATTCGTCAATACGTCTCAATATTCCTCTACCGTATCAGGCGACGTAAAATTATTAATAATCATGCCCCGCTGGACTTCCACATCAAAATGTTTTACCAACATTCCAATTACATTTTGCATCGGAATTTTATTATCAAGAAACTTTGCTTGCGCCACCAGATTCAAGAAATAATCTGCTCGACTGCCATACGAGTGCGTACCGTAGACCAACGTCATATACAACTCTCTTTGTTTTTCAATGCTCCAGAATCTATTTTTAAATGCTAGACGAAATGAAACATAGTCGGTAAAACAATCCTCCTTAACGCTAGCCCAATCGGCCGCCGAACCTCTTAAGCAACCAACAGCTAAACCCAACTGCGCATGCTCAGGAACACCTGCATCGCTAAATATTTTTTCAATTTTCTTTAAAAATAGCATTGGGTGCATTTGCCCATAGTTTGAAAATGTGACATTACCACCCCCTAACTCTTTCCAGTTTATTATATAGGATCTATCTTTAATTACAGTCGAACAATCATCTATTCCTTTAGAAGTACAAACAGTCTCCGGCACTGTCTCTATTCCAGACATCAGGCCCTCATATCGTGTGTCGGACGTTGCCACCTTCTCAGCTAGTTGCCCTACCGTACTTTTTAACTCTGTCACTGATATTGCCAAATTTCTAACTAAAGACTCAAGGTCCTCCTGCACCTCCTTTGTACTCTCTGCCCTCCCTCTCCGCGACTTTCTGCTAGACATTTCTACAGCTTACCTAAACGACAAATCGTTACAATACTACAGTAAACTAAAACAAGGAAAGTTTTTTTTCTGTTACAATGACTGTTTCAACACAGTAAATAATCGTTAATATCCCCTCTGCTCCACCAGCTATCTCTTAACGCCTCACTGCTTCTCTACCAGCGCCTCGGTGCTCGTACAGAACCCCCCAGCAGCATACACACCCTCAGCTTTCCAAAATAAAATGACTTCTCACCCAGATCTGCTTACTCCCCTTACAACCGACAACACCGCCTGGCTCGTGCCGCTTGAACACAGCAACGCCTCAACGCCTGTTTCTGCGTCACGTCGTGCCGCCAAAATCAACCGTCTTCACCTACGCGTACCGTTTTCGTCGCGTCTCGTTCCTTCTCTATCTAACACCTTGCAACCGTATCGCGCTACGCCGTTCTACTGCCACGAGTTGGGCGCCAAATGAAGTGGATCCGAGCTTGCACAATATTACTCAGGGTTTTTTCGTGGGTTTCAGTAATAACGACGGCGATATGGCTAACAAACTTTAATGGTAGTAAGGCACAACATAATTCACTAACTTAAAAAAAAACATGGAACCCGGTAATCTTTAAATCCGGAAGATGGTCACGTCACCTGTTGCCTCTCTCGGCGGCGAAGGGCAACTCCCCCTCGCTAGTGATGTAAAATAATTAAGTAACGCTTACAAAATAATCGTTACAAATGAGTAACTAAATGTAACGAGTCCTACTTTTTGAAAAGACTCGTTACTTTTTATTTGAATTCGTTACTTTGAATGCGATACGGTCTTTTTCTGTGTATACTTTTTAATTACTGTTAGTTACTACACTATACATTACTTTAGATACAAACGTTACTGGGATTTAATGTAGCCAGTACTGCCAGCGCCAGCAGCAAGTCACTTGGTTCTTGGATGTAAACTGGGTGGAAATGAAATGATGTGAATATCGTTAGGCTTAGGCAACTTTAGATGCTCTTCTATCAAACGAGTTGCGGACTGCGGAGCTTTAGGTTGGCGATGTTTGTGTACACCTGTACACTTATCATTTGACTTTGAGAGCTACCGGTTGGCGGGTTGTTACTGGTTTGGATGTTGCCGTACAAGCTCGAGCAATAATATAATTATTATTTGTACAAAAATATGGAATCATCCGCGTCCGGTTCAGGAGAATCGCAAACTCAAAAAAGAAGTGTTATTTGGATGCATTTCACCAATATATCGGAAGCTAATGCAAAGTCTAATCTTTGTAAAAATATTTATTCGCATAAAAGTGGAAACATTAGCAATTTAAGGAAGCATTTGAAAACTAAACATCCGACTTTTTCATTGGAAGGAGAAAGGGCAAAACGGCGGGTGGAAAAGGAACTTAGTTTCAGGTATGTTTTATCATTATAAGTATTTTGTTGAACACCATTTACAGTGGAGTAACCAGACTGTTAAGTAGGGCAGGGGAGTAACCAGACTGTTAGGGCAGGGGGCGCTACTCAACTAAAGTAAAGAGTGAGGAGAGTGGTTGCTCCACGGTCCCCATCTGGTTATGCCACTTGTTAAATACTATTTACAGCGTACAGCCAACGAACCAGACGTCACACAACGACGAGTTTAAAATATAAGTACCTTCTACGTATCAAATATCAAAAAATAGGCAAGGCATTAGACAAAAAATAATAATTGGATCAATCCCAAAGTAATAATTTGATATAATATATAGAATGTAGGTTCTAAACGAAATGTCCAAATAGTAACTAAACTAACGAGTCCAAAGTTCGAAAGTAACGAGTCCTTACAAGTCCTAAAAAGTAACGAAACTTTGCATCACTACCCCTCGCTCGATCTACCACAATTTCGTCCACTGTTGCCGAGTTGCCGCGCACCTCACTGAACCACTACACAAGTCATTTCAAAACGCGAAATCGAATCGTAATCAGGTAGGTTCACTTAGGTACGATGAATCTTTGACCTCCGCATATCAAACTATATACTAAGAGCCGTTTTACACACAAGAGAATTACTCCGAAAATTATGGTTATAATTATGCCGAAAATTTTTGCTGTCGTATTACACCTAAAAGAATTCTTGTGAAAATTTTCATGGTAAAAATATAAAACCCGTTCTATAGAATATGCGCGAGAATCGGCGCAGAGGATTATTTCCGTGCATGTCATTATCAAATGTCAACGTCAACATAACAACATAACCCCACTTAACATTTGTGGGTATGGTCCTGTTCGATTCGTACTACGAAGAAGCGTTTATTGTTATTGTTTATTCATAATGTCGTGGAATCAGGAAGAAGTTACACTGTTGTTGTAGGAGTACCAAAAATGGGCAAACCTGTTCAAGGTGAAGTCACCTAATTACAAAAACAGAAATTTGCGGCGTCAGGCGCTGGATGCGATAGCCCAAGCATTGAGAAGTTTTATAATATTAACCAAGATCTCGATTTCAAAAATAAATTTAAATCAACGACGTCTGTTGTCTTTCCGATTATATTGGACGTCATACCCGTTAAGGTTATGTCCATTCGAAAATATTACTCTAATGCGCAGGCGTATCATATGAATTACTCGGAAATTTTGTCTGCTTGTGTCATACAGGTTGTAGAGAAAATCTTCATATTTTTTTCATGCAAATTTTCGGCATAATTATGACCATAATTTTCGGAGTAATTCTCTTGTCTGTAAAACGGCTCTAAGAAAGGTTGGGAAATCTGGAAACTGGAAATACTACATACCAAAATATGTGAACTAACCTAAACGTGCCTTCGTCCAAAAGTTGGTAGTTTGCGAGATACAGAGTGCCAAAGTTACAATTTTATTTTCTATTTTTCCTTATTGCTTGAGAAGTATTTCAGCTTTTGGCATGAAACTCGGTATAGAAAGGTTTTATAATATGAGAAACAAGAATCCGTTATTTTTTATGGCCAAACTTCTAGAGGGCGCCACTTACAGCACTATTTCGGTAAATAACTTATCATAACTTTTTCGTGCTACTCTGTATACAACAACTGACTGAAAAATCTTATTTTATCGTATTTCCGCAACAAAAAGGGTTAACTTGTTAGAAGTATCTAAAGCTGATAGTTTTCGAGATATTTGTTTCTAAAAGTTCCAATGCATTATTTGAAGCATGATGATAAAACATTTTTATAACATAATAATCAAGCTGCTTTGGATAATATCTGAGTAGCGCTGCTATGGTTTTTAATAGTAACAAATGAGGATGGCAACAAAACAAATAAACGGTGATAATAACAACAAAAATTGTCCAAAATGAGCACCACCTTGCCCAACACTCTCTCGAGCTCGACGAACTAATTCTTGCTGCACTCTCCAAACCTTTTGGATGTGATTTTTGATTTCCTGGCTATGGTGGAAAATTCTTTGTCGAAGATCATCCACAGTTTCCACTGGCGTATTGTAAACGCGTCGTTTGAAATTACCTCAGAAGAAGAAATCCATAGGATTTAAATCTGGTGATCTAGCCGGCCACGATACAGGTCCTGATCGGCCTATTTTTATAGTCTGGATAAACTCTATTTAGGTGCTGTCTGACTAATATACTAAAAATACGGTGGGGCGCCGTCGTGCATAAACCACATACTCATGATTGTTTGTAACGAAAGATCTTCCAGCCGTGTGAGTAATTGTTTTTCAAGAAATTGTAGATACCTTTGGCCA